AATATTATAATTGAATTCAGTTACAAACGCATGAAAAGATAGAGGTGTACAATTTATGATTAAAAGTCTATCTACACAATATACATAGACATAAAATGTAAAAACTTAAATATCTTAGAAACAGTAGCCAATCAGTTGTTTTAATTGTCATATTTGTATTCAGCACATCAAAATACATAATAAATAGCACATTTTATCTCTGAAGCAGACGACTTCTCAAAAATTGTAGACCAGTGTAATCAATCACAGTTCTTCTCTTCAGCATGTGGGACTGTCTCTTCTTCTTCCTACCATTGCAACAGCTCTCTGGCACCTCCCAGATATTCCCAGTAAAGTTGTGGTTGCTTTCTTGTAGCAGCATGAGGCTCGCTTTTAGAATGTTCTTGTGTTGAGGAACTGTTTTAGGATGCTCCAAAATTTTCTTGAGAAATGGATGATTTTTAACTGTTCAAAAGCTGAGTGGAATTTCATGAGACAGAGAAAAGGCTCTTCCCTTGTCTGAGTGTGTTCTTCCTGATGAATATCAAAGGTCTGTTTCAAACAATAGAAAGGTGCTGAGAACTTCCCAAAGAAAAGATTACAAAAATCAGTTCAACAGTTTTTCTTGTGGCTATTTTTGCATCCCTTCATTTGTAAAGCTAGAGTTCTTTTCTAACTTAAGTCCTATTCTGCAGAGTTGTAAGGTTCAGAAAAAAAATTGGAAACTTTAAAGTGACATTTATACAAAAAGTATTTTAGGAAATTTTTAAAAGTCTGATAGCTAATGAGTTTCTAGGGCCAGAAGCAATTGCCACCTGTCTCTTCAGAAAGCCTAAGTATCTTTCCTTTACAATGGTGCTATCTAGTTTTGTAGAGTTACAAGTTATAGACCTTAAGCTTGACATGGATACAGTACTGAATATTGCTTCATCTAACCTCAGAACAGTATAATTTAGGGGGAAATGCCACATTTTCAGCTGAAAGAAGGAAACCTTTCTCTAGCAATGTGATTTTAAAAATGGTGGGAAGGGAAAGTGAATGTAGTTGTTCAGAGAAGTTCGTGTCAGCATTTCCTGTAGAGATGGATTAGCTAGAGAGTGCAGGAGACATGGGCAAAAGTACATAATAAATGCAGTGTATCACAGGGTATAACAATAATCAAAGAGTCCTACGCTCGGATATCTAATTTTGATAAATTACAAAAATCCATACCAAAGTCTCAATGGATGGCTTAGATCCAGCCTACTCATTTACAGAAGTTTGAAACAGAATGTAAACTCAAAATTATGTGGTATATAAGTGGTGCTAATGTGATTTAAGGAGGTTTATAATCTGTAAATGTTACCACCAACTTCCATATCTTCTAGCTCCATTGTAGGCTACCCTTACCTTTTTAAAGCAACAACTAATATGCAGAACTGCGGATGTCTGTGGTTTGTGTCTCTCGGACAACCGTAAAATAATAATGTTGCCTGTACCAAAACTCCCTCCTCTTCTCCCCAGTTTACCAGCTTATGAGATTTGTACTGTTGTCTTGGTAAATGGTTGGGAATGAGTGGAGGAAGCAGGTCACATCTTGCATCTTTGCTTCCCAGGCCAAAGATTCACAAAACAGAAAGGACAAAGGAGCCAGACCTATGGGTCTTTGCTGTTTTTATAGGACATATGAGAAGAATGAAGCTGTAGGATACAGTTTTCAAAAATGCATAGGTGATTTAGGTGCCCAAGTCCCACTGAAGGTGAATGGGACTTGGGTGCCTAATCATTTAGGTGGATTTGTAAATTTTACTTCTTTCTTCAGAGTTTTTTGAGTACCTTAATTCTATATGTGTAACAGTGTGGACTGGATGAGATTTTTACCTTTTGGGGAGAAACTCTGACTGCACAAGAGATAAGCCGGGACCCCTATCATAACTACATCTTTGCCTCTTCTGTGTCTGGGACAGGAGATTCAGAAGGGTAGAGGGATAGGTTAGAGGTATTTGTGCTGGAGGAGGAAATCTTGTGGTAGAGAAATCTAAAAACTCATTTGGTTTATGGTTGATGCTGTTTGTTTTTTGGTCCCTTTAATATTCGTTCATGATCACTGTTTAATTTTTGTTATTTGTTAAAACTTTCCATTGACAAAGAGGATGTTATCTTCGTAGTTTTGTCTCTCCAAAACTGTGGTCAAGACCTTGTGTTCTCACTTACCTCACATAGTTCCTCATGGGTACCGGATGTTGGCCGGGGCAGTGCATCAAGCAGTGTTCAAGTGATCGTCTAGGCCAGTGATATTCAGACTGAGGCTTGGGAGCCACAAGTGGCTCTTTAATGTGTCTCCTGTAGCTCTTTGCAGCACATGATATTAAAACACTTTGTGATTTAATTAACCAGTCAGGATGCTTTTATACTGTGTTATTAACCAATTGTAGAATATTTGGTCAGTCATTGTATTGTGAGAATAATATATTGTATAGTATACAGTAAATGAAACA